GAGACACGTAGCTTGTCATGGATTCACTATTTTCTAAGCTGATGGATATCAATGTTCGCAGTAGACTGAAACAATTACAGCCGGGCCCTTGGACTGGACATAGAGTGGTGGCTTTCCCTTAGGTAGCTTCAATCTGGAGGCATAGCTGTCAGCAGAAGAAGTTGAAGAGGCCACACAGGGGATAGGAGGGGCAGGAAAAGTCTGGGCTTGAGCAACCGAAAATTCCAGCTGCGCACACTTAAGCTTAAAGGCCGTTACCTCCTGTTCCTTTTCGCCGTACCTAATCTCTAGCGTTGCCACGTACGCTAGGATGTCTTGGCTGAGGCTGGCAATGCTGGTCTTGTCAACCAAGTTGAGCTTATTGCTCGCATTGGCGACAGTTGCGATTCCTTTGAGAGCCGCGTGTACCATCTCCAGAAGCGCAACCTTGTCCAGCACTGAGATGCCACTGGAGCCATCAGGATAGATGAACCGCGAAGCATTACCTGAAGTTGAGGCGGGGTCTAGCATAGGCTTTGTTAGTATGCCACTAACTGGCGGATGCACCGACTTCTTCTCTTGGACGCGGCGCCTGACTGCCTCCTGCACGTCCTCAGGTGAGGTTAACACCCTTTTGGCCGTCGGGATAGAAGCTGCAGCAGTAGAGGTGCTTTGTTGGACCGGGGGTGTGCTAAATCCTTGCGGGTTTATAGTAGTAGATAGGGACAACCCTCCACCTCCCATGGCCCCACCAACCTTGCGGTTATACGGGCCGAATCACGAGAGGTGCACGCGGTACTTGCTCAGGGCTCTTTCCCGCGCGCACTTTCTTGACTCTCTACAAGTTATTTAATCTACTCCTTGTCCCATATTACCACTCTCCCTTTCTGGGCTGGAGGAACACACCACGCCTTCGGTTCCGGGCTGCTCTTCACCTGAATTGTTCTTCACCAGGGCAGTCCTCCTTGCGTGCCATCCGTGCGCAAACTCGTGCAGCCGGCCAAAGTTCTCCCGCCCGTCAACGAATTCCGGGTAGTAAACCGGGCCAATTCTTCCGCGTAATATTCCATCCATAATTTTACAACGCAGGTCGTCACAAAGCATGCCTTCCCACAGAACGTGGTGCCTATCCTCGTAGGCATCTCCACACACACACATACTCGATTCAGCCAGTTTCATATCATGCAGTCTCTTCCTAAAGCATCCATGCCCACTGAGAATCTGTGAGACTTGGTAGTCCGGTACGACCCAATTTGCATTAAGTCGCGCCGCCACGTCCGTTAAAAAGCAGAATAATTCCCTGCCATTCGTCTCGTTCTTCCATCCGTTCCATTCCGTTTCCTGCCATACTTCAGCCCAAATTTCACGCTTACGCCTGCTCAACTCCCCATTCTCAGCGTTTCTGCGCATCCGGTCAATCCTACCAAAACGCGTTACCTCCAGATCGGCCGGAAGGACGCCGGCCAATACCGGAGGCGCCGCAGTGCTTATCGTCCTATAGCCCTTCGTCAACAACACGAGCGAGGATCTCTCCGATCTCAGCAGTGCCGTGTGCAATGTATAATTCCCCACACGATCAACCCAAACTGCTGCAGCATATGTCACTATCGGAACATACGTTCCCTTATAGAGAACACGGAGGGCCGGGGTGCGCATGCCCCAAGAAGATGCCGAAACTCGCGACATGTTCCCAAAACATCTACCAGCCCTCTCTCCCATATCCTTGGCGTGCTGGATGAAAAATAGACTTGAGTCTAGCGTGACACCTAATACCTTAGCCGACATTACGCTTCTTATAGACTCAGTCCCCATCTTTATAACAGGTGGTCGCTGGAACTTCCCTTTAATGGTCATAGTACATGACTTCGCGAAGGAGAAGTATAACGGGTTTCGCTCTCCCCACGATGATACCAGCTCCAGTGCAGATTTGGCCGCTCTTTCAATTTCAGCTCTAGAGTTTGCCTCAATCAGAAGTGTCACGTCATCTGCATACGCCAGCATTTTCGTCCCTAAGGGGAATGGCAGCCTCAACAAATCGTCCAGCAGTAGATTCCACAGGGTCGGTCCAAGAACTGATCCCTGCGGGCAGCCCATGGTCGAGCGTTTCCATTCGACACACTCACCTACGAATATTTCCACACGTCGGTTGGTGAAATAGTCCACCACCATGCGGTAGATGTTAGGCGGAATCCCCCCCTGTTTAGCTTTCAATAGTATCATTGGCCACCATGCATTATCAAATGCACCCGATATATCCAGAAAGACGGCCTGCACATACTTGCGTTGCGACTCGCGAGTAGTGCTAAGCACATCTTGCAGTGCCGTTACCGTTGACCGACCCGGCGAGAACCCGTGCTGGTAGTCTGATATGCCCCTCACCAAACTTGGGGCACACCGCAACAAAACTCGCTCCAGTAATTTCCCAAATATGGGGAGGAGCGTAATCGGGCGGTTCGCCTTGGGATCCGTTAGTGGCCTGTCATTCCCTTTCGGAATCACTATTAGGCGTCCTTTCTTCCATACTTCGGGGAAAACCCCCTCTTCCACACATTTGGCATACACCCAGTGGAATTCCCTAGGTGCAGTTCTCCACACATTCTTCACAATTCTTGCACATATTCCATCCAGTCCCGGAGCAGTGTTGGGCAGAGCCCTAACTATACCCTCCAGACCCCCAATGGTGGGGGGAAATTCAGTCGGCCCCGATGGAGTGAGAGCTGCCATGGGGCGCACCCGCCCGTGGTATCCTGTATCCTTAGACCTGTCGTCGTCGACGGATCAATGTTGCCTGTTTCGGCACTTTTCCGAAACTGGGCCAGTTCTCTTTCCCCCATCATCTTTCGGTATCTCGCTCGCATACTATGGAAACGTTCCATAGCCAATTCCTCGGACCTACCACCTTGCTTTCTGGTCTTCTGCCACACTCTCCTCGCACTACACACCTTTTTCCTCATCCTATCGAGTTCAGGCGTCCACCATTCATAGCCACCTTCCCGCCTCGGACGCGCATTCCCCAGTACGTTCTTCGCAGATCGGACGACGATATCCGTGAACTGCGCGCAGAGTCGGTCAGCCGGCTGTTGAACATTCAAATTACACATTCTCAAATGAATAGCACCGCGAAAATACTGCCAGTCCACCACCCGGTCACGAAAGCGCGCAAGTTCCTTCACCGGCCCCACAAGCTCCGCATGACGGTCTTTTTGAATCCTAAAAACAATGAGGCGATGGTCGCTCATGCTGGCGCAATCCAGTACTCGCCACCCTGATACTGCAACGCCTGTGGTCGCGAGGGTAAGATCGATGTTAGATTCACCCCTGGCCCCAGCGAACGTGGATGGTTGTCCCTCCACGTTGGCCAGGGTGAGCCCTCGCGACATGATGAAATCCTCCATCATCCTCCTGCGGTGCTCCGCTTCATGTCCCCTTCCCGTAATATGGGCCCTCTCGCTATACCAAAGTGGCGAGTGCGCATTGCTGTCAACTCCAATGACAACGCGCTTGCCTTTTAACTGGTCAAATACGGTCTCTAGATGTTGCAGATGGTGGTCTATGACATCGCTATATTTAAAATATGCGGAGACGACGTAGAGACCGTACTTCTCCACATGGTAGACCACGCAATAGGGGTTACTAATGTGTGGCAATCCAGCCAAGCCTATATCCAGGTTGCAGACCATAACACCGGCCTGCGGTCCTTCGCCGAACTGGACGACTACCTGTGCTTGCGGCCACTGTTCCTGGACCAGGACAATGTCCAGATCCCGATCCCGTACAAGTGTTGGGAGCTCCTTCGTGGCTATCTCGCTACGTCCCAGATTGAGCTGTCCAACGCTGATATTGTTTTTAGCCGCCATATTGCGTGTTGTTGACCGCTCTCTCCTCAGCGTACACCCAAGCCGGGCACTCCTTCGCCATCGTGGCATGGGTTTTTGCGCCCGGCTTGCCAAATCTGCGACAAGTGGCACAGCAGGTCTCAGATGACTTGCAGGCATCTCTGCTGTGACCCTCTTCACCACATCAGCCACATGTCTCCTCCTTTTCCCTACAGTATTTGGCGGGATGCCCGTATTGTTGGCATCGCTGGCAGCAGGTGACGTCTATAAAATCACATGGCTTTACCACGTCCCACCCTATGTACAGCCTATATCTGGCTGTCAGTGCATCCCTTAGCGCGGACGTGCATTGTAGCACCATCGTGGTCCTTCTGCTGCCCTTCCACGACTTTTTAAAGGCGACCTTACACTGCTTCTTCAGCTCCTCCAGGGTCCACTTCTCGTCTTCGCCGAAGTTTTGATCGTGAAGGGCCGGCAGGATTTCTTCCGTCTTAACATCCTCTTCGAAGCCACGCAACGCAACAAGTGGCTGGCGTTGTCGCGGCTCTGCTACCCTTAGTGTCGGTGGAGCAGCAGTGCGCAGCTTTTGTGCCGCCTCCTGGGACGTGGTCTGGACCACTACTCCAGCATTGCCAACCTTTCTCAACTTGGAGACCTGGATATTTATCTCCGAAGGCCTTACTGCTTTTTTCAATTCGGCCTTGGTGTCTTCTGCCGTCTTGAGATGTTCCTGTTCTCCGGCTGGATAAAATGCGAGGACCGGCCAGACTTTTCCGGCATTGGCTTTGAAGCCACTCCTTTCGGCATTCTTAGAACCGCTGCAAACGATTGGCCAGTAGCTGTAGTTGTAGTTAGGGACACCCAGCACCTAGCATGGCCCCACCGAGCCTCAGGTCATACGGGCCGAATCTCGGGAGATGCGCGCGGTACTTTCACCTTGCTCTTTCCCCGCGCGCACTTTCTTGACTCCCTACAAATATTTGTTCTATTCCTTGTCCCAGTTTAACGTCATTGTCCCCCTTCTGGGGCTGACGGCACAATAACGCCTACGTCGTCGGGCCTTACTACCAGCATTCTATCTAGCCTTATCCTGCGATCGTGCCACCTATGCGCAAACTCACGCAGTAGTCCGTAGTTCACCCCATCGCTGACGAGATCCAAGTAGTAAATCGGTCCCTGAACCGTACGAACTAATCCATCCATCATTTTCGTTCTCAGGTCGTCATACAGAGGACATTCCCATAGAACATGGTGAACATCCTCTTCTGACACACCAAACTCACACATACTCGTATCACACAGTCGCATGTCGTAATCTTTATAACCTACATAATACATTTTCTTTTCTATTATCACAGAATTGTTAGGCGAACAGGAAGTAATTTATAAAAATTAGTGTACAAAATAACATATTATTAATACAAGCAACACACACATTAATAATATATGATCTATCGCGTTTTTGCTCGATTAGCGCATCCTCCTATTATATTCCTATTAATTCATAGTAAATAAAGTTCTTAGAAACATTTAGATATATCAGTAATATACATATAACTACATAACAAATATATCAAATAATTATAGTCCTTACGAGTATATAAATAGATTACTGAAATTTCTTATATAGAGTAGTAAACGATACTTAGTACGCATAACGATATGAGTCGTTGTAATGGAACTACTTTATTACAGATACAAAGTCAATGAACCTTAGTTCATCTGTCCACCATTCTAACCCCCCGACCTCCTGGGGCGACGCTCTCCTAAGCCTTCCTCCGCAGAGCAGATTACGACCTCTGAGAAATCCGCCGCCAGGAGGGCTGCGGGTTTGCCCACGTGCAACCATCCCATTCGTAACTTGACAATCGTCCGGAACCTGTCCCAATCCACTCCCCGGTCACGAAA